TATCCTATTGTTTAAAGAAGCGTTCGCTATACGTAGACTACACCCTTTGCTTAACAATGGACTCAAAGCTTCAAAAGAGCTTTCTTTGTTTTTGTAGGTATCTTTGATCATTAGAGTAAGAATGCTTTGATCTTTTGTTTAAATCACTGCTATGTCACCTACTAGAGGTAATGTTTTGATTGGTTCAACACTTTTGGTACTAGTGCATATACTGTAAGCTTGCTAATATGGATAATTTTTTCATTCCTGATGATGACATAATTAATGTCGAAATATAGAATCCCAACACGATGGCGTGTATTTCAATACTTGGAGTATGTATTATACATTCTGATCAGAGAACGTTGTGAAAGAAGAAAACAGAATGTGTCACAAAATGATCCACAAGGGGAATTTTACCGTCCAAATGTAATCGTGTTTATAAATCAAGAATCAGACTGTTCGGCCATGAAAGGAGCTGCCCTAGCAACTAGAGGTAATATGAGCTACAATGTAGCTACAAACTGGAAAACACATTCTCACCGTCTGAACCTGACGAACGGGTGCCACATATACTCATTATTAACACATTATATTTTCTTAATAAAAGTATAATCATGAAATCAGGTTTAAATTTCTTTGAGCCAAGTACCAGATAAAACATTACATAATTATTTAGCAAATTACACTACATTGATAAGCATATTCCTATCTTGTTATTAGTATTATAGTAGCATTAAATATTTACATGTATTTTATAAAAAAGAAAGTGTTTTACTAATTTCACAAATATAACTGCCCATACTACATTTATCATGTACACTGCATTTACCTAACATTCTAAGTTAGTGGAATTTATTTTGCACCAAATGAATCCAAACCACTGGCCCGCCCCTGACTACTACAGATCAACGAACATAAGGACAGACATGGAAAAAGCAAGGGAAGTCAAATCAAAATAGGTTTAAACCAATTCTTAATTCTGATAGGATGGTACTGCACTAAATCCAATACATGCATACAGTAACATCCAATTAGAATTAAAGAATAAGTTTAAGACTGGTGTAGCAATAGCCACTGCTATCAAAACAATATGCCTACCTGGGGATGGTCTTTGAAGACTTTCCATCGGGCGATTACCCTGCACAGCTGATCTCGATGAATCAGGAATCGGCTGATTCCAGGCTAAATAGTTGTAAGCATCCTGTGCTTGGAGTTGCTGTAGCTGTTGAGGCAGGAGCAATTGTCTTGCTGGTGGGGGTTGCTGTTGATGACTAGACATTGCACTTTCCCCCATACCATCTGCTGGTCCGCAATATCCTAAAACCAGATACATTTCTTAATTTTAAACATATTTATGAAGGGAATAAGATTAACTGAATTGTCAGGTATTAATCTGATTGTATTTGTTGTTATACAATATTACAAACTTTTGAGGTTGTCGCTTACAAAGGTAAATCATAAGAAAAATTTTGAACTCAAAAATGGTCGCAGTCGCTTACAAAAGATGGTGGCTTACAAGAGGTATCAAATGCACTGATTAGATAGGGATAACAAACAGGACTACTGTATATGACAGAGAGTGGACATTAAGGGAAGTGATCTCTTATAGGAGGTGGTCGCACAGGAAGGTTAAACTGTATTATACCAGAGTAATCCACTACTGAACCATCAAAATAAATGTGCCTACCTTGGGATGGTCTTTGAAAACTTTGCAGTGTAATTTGCTGCAGCTGTTCAGGCAGAAGCAATTGTCTTGCTGGTGGGGGTTGCTGTTGATGAGTAGACATTGCACTTCCCACCATACCATCTGCTGGTCCGCAATATCCTAGCAGCAGATAAATTTCTTAATTTTAAACAAATTTATGAAGTGAATAAGATTAAATGAATTGTCAGGTATTAATCTGATTGTATTTGTTGTCATACAATATTACAAACTTCTGAGGTGGTCACTTACAGAGGTAAATCAGAAAAATTTGAAACTCAAAAAGTGGTCGCAGTCGCTTACGAGAGATGGTGGCTTACAAGATGTACCAAATGTACTGATTAGATAGGGATAACAAACAAGACTACTGTATATGAGAGTGGATGTTGAGGGCGGTGATCGCTTACGAAAGGTGGTCGCACAGGAAGGTTAACTGTATTATACCAGGGAAGAGTAATCCACTGCCATCAAAATAATGTGCCTACCTTGAAATGGTCTTTGAAGACTCTGCAGCATGAGATGCTGCGAATGTTGAGGCTGGAGCAATTGTTTTGCTGGTGGGGGTTGCTGTTGATGAGCAGACATTGCACTTGGTCCACAATATCCTGGACACAGACAAATTTCTTAATTTAAACTTATTTATGAAGTAATAATAATAATAATAATAATAATAATAATAATAATAATAATAATAATAATAATAATAATAATAATAATAACAACTAGATTTGAACTCGTCACTGAGGACGAGTTAGGTGATCCGCCGCACTTTGACCCACAAGGAAGTGTGCGCGGTGCGGATTGAACAATAGTTAAATGCTGATAATGGCAAAATACGCTAATTTAGTTTGTTAAAAAAGAATTTTGAGCATTTTTAAAGATTTACTCATGCGTACGCGCACGTCATGACGCACATGCACATCTTAATATCACTGTTGTCTCCTGATATGAGATATATATGTATCAACTTTCATTGACAAACGCCTGTTGGTGAAGGAATAATGATCATTCATAGTATTTATCATAAATAAAAATTCAGTTTTTTTACTTCAGATGGCAATATGATGACGTCTCAATGTCCGAAAAATTTTGAAATGCTCAAAATGGCCTGAAACGTGCTCTAATTTAATCTAAATGTGATTTCAAGCATTTTAAAATTTTGACGCACGTGTACGCGCGCGTTATGACGCGCACGCGTAAAATTAGGGTACATTACATTTAACATTGACTTGAAGTTAATGCTCACTTAATACGATTTCGAAATGGCAATTGGCTAGGTTGATATGATCGATAATGTAAAACGCAAAATTGCGCGTAGATGATGTCACGCATAACTGCGCACTTTGAAAACCTTATTGTGACTATTCCAGACCAAGCTAAATGTTTGTTGAAGCGTGCATGTATGAATCTCGTGCCAATTTTTAGATATCGTGCTAACAAGAAATGGGGAGAACCAAGAATTAAAAAAAATATCTCTGACAATAACAAGAGGTGATCCGCTAGCGGAGCGGATCACCAAATAATAGTTGGATGTGTATAGTGCATCATGCGAAAAAGCCTCTATGCGCTTGGTGATTGAGCTCTTTGGGTTTGACATTGTGAAAAAAAGTTGATTATCCTATGAAAACACCTTCTAAGTGAAGGTTTTGGGATCAGAGGTCAACAAATCAAGAAAACAGAAATTTCTTGAGCTTTGACTTGAATATATTCAAACTTGTAGATTCTCTTTTATGTCAATTGGTAACTGGTTCAAAAAGATAGGTGCAGCAACACTAAATGCTCTATCACCATAGGATTTAAGCCTAGAAGAGCGTCTGGTAAGTACACAGCTGCCAGTTGATGATCGCAATGACCGTGTACATGACGTCGAGCAGAGATTCAGCATGTCGCTTATGTACATGGGTGGAAGATTAGTTATAGCTCCTTAGGATGAAAGGTGACCCCTAACTTTTATTACATATTCTGAAAGCACATGAGCTGTAGATAAGATTTTATATATCATAATAGCTGATCGGACATTGTGACGTCATCATATTGCCATCTGAATTAAAAAACAAGAAAAAAATTATATTTCTTTTCTCAAAACGTTGATGACGTCATATTATCTTAACCATTCGTCATTTCTGAATAATATTAAATGGGCTTATACTTCAGGTCAAGGTTGAATGTTTGGTATCTTACTTTTTTGTTTGCGTATCTTAACGTGCGCGTACGCGTGCATCAAAAACTACATATGCTTATAATTATGCCTATTTATAATCAAATATAGCTCCTTGGGATGAAAGGTGACCCCCAATTTTTATTACATATTCTGAGAGCACATGAGTTGTAGATACGATTTTATAGATCATAATGGCAGATCGGACATTGTGAGGTCATCATATTGCCATTTGAATTAAGAAAAAACTGAATTTTATACTATGTCGTCTTTACATTTATACTCGTTTGAACGTATCTCATTTATTCTTGATTGATTGTCTCTCACCTGTATGTTATAGCTGAAACAATTCTCGTGTCCCTTTATTTTTTACTTTGACGATGTCATCATGGTCAAAAAGAATCAATTTTTGGAGCCCTGTCATCTCTCTTTTTTTCAAATTTGTCAAAAAAAAATCATTGACAGAGGGTGGCAGACTGTATTTCGGAGCTAAGTATTTCAGGTTGTATATGGGAAAATTTGTGTGACGTTACCAACTTAAACAGGTGGTTTAAAAAAACATGACAATGTTTAATTTTGTGTTCCATTACGGTACACGCACACATTGTGACGTGCACGCGCGTTAAAATGTGAATATTCTCAATATCATTTTTCAGATAATTTAAAGAACGTTTCACGTCATTTTCAGCATTCCAAATCTTTCTATAATTTACGCGTCGTAGGTTCATATCCATGCGCACAGCACGTACTGAAGCTGGAAATTAGGTTTTGTACATATTTTGTGTTCCTGACACTGTATTCATATCAGGAATCATTCCAGCATATTTTTTTAATCATATAAAATTTTTCTATCATCAGCACTGCGTACACCTCAAAGTACGGCGGATCACCAAACTCGTCCTCAGTGACGAGTTCAAATCTAGTATATATTATATTTTTTTCACATTACCGATAACTTACTACTATAACTGGGATTTTTTTTTTTTTTTTTTTTTTTTTTTTTTTTTTTTTTATTTATTTAAGGAGGATCAAGACCCCCCTCTCCCTCTGGTCAAGAAATCTGTGCCAGATGCATCACGTTTTCATTTTTTAGAGCACCTTAATTTTATCAACTTCACTTAAAATTAAATCAATTAGAACGAGAGAGTTTTAATACTGTTACTATCATAAGTAAATTTCCCACACAATTAATATCGAAACAGTACTGGGTTTAGTCTACAAGAGCTTGTGCTTTGTACTAGTCTTTCCATTCATCGAAGCCTTTTCAGAATTTGTATTAAATGTAACACACATTTTGGTTCTAATCAGCGCACAACTGTAGTTAACAAATATCAATTAATGTAACTCTATCAAACATATGGTTTTCAGAGCCAATTAAATAAATTCCAGAAATTGAGAATGTGAAAATTAACAGCATAGCTACAGTACAGCACAGAAAAATAGTCAGAACATAGCCATATAAGGTTGAAATAATGTAAAACGCTGTGCCATCAGGTCCTCTACAGGATCCATTGTCATTTGGTTCTAAACATCTGGTATCGGATTGGACGGTTTCAGCTTTTGCTGCTGGTTTGGAAATTGATGTTTTTTAAACCTGAATAAATAAAAAAAATTATATCCAGTACCGGATCTTTTGTTTTTGGGGGCTGCCGCAAACATTGTCAGCAGCAAGTGGAAGTAAACCACGCAAAGGCATTGTCTTACATTGTCTTATAAGTAATTCCAAGAATAAAAACAATCCAAGAAATCTTGTCAACAAAAAAACTTGTGAAAACACAATCTCTCAAAACTCTTAAAAATGCATGCATATGATGTGATGAGCTGCTTATTCGCACACTGTTAAATGGGGAAGTGAGGAATATTGTTAGGAGACAGTCTGAACATGCTACCCTGGTTCGACTGTTCTGTTTTATTTGAATGGGTGTTCTGTTTTGAGAACAAAAGCAATATAGTCGGTTTATACAGATAAGTATTCACAAAATAGACCAGATATAATACCAACTAGATTCGGAATTCATCATAGACGAATTCGGTGATACGCTGGGACTGATGATAGTTATTTTGATGATTTTTTACTGATTGAACATGACGGAGACTTTTGGTATCAGAATAAAAAAAAGGCATTTAACAAGACATGGAGATTTGTTAATACAATGTCAGCATGTCGACTCAAAAGTGTACGAATTCGTATATTTGATGCGCATGTATGGCATTGTTTTTGCACTAAAATGGCTGAGAGAGAATGGAACTGTGAATTCAGTGTCAGGAAATCATGATATGCAAAAAAACCTAATTTTCAATTTCAAAAAGTGCTGTGCGCGTGAAAATGTGCGTACGCCATGACGCGTGCGGAGGGCATTGCACACAAAGTTGAATCTTGATATGTAGTACACTTGTGTCTTTCGGGTTGTAATCCACCCTGCTGCCGTTTGTTGGGGTTCGTTATGTAGTGAACATGTAGAATGAGGGTTTAAGTAATGTTAATAAAGTTGAACTATTAGAAATCTTTGCCGCTGGTAGCGTGTCACATAATAACCACAATGCATTCAAAAGAATATTGAAGAAAACCGATTTAAACAAATTTTTTCATTGGTAATATGCCTGATCTTGTGGACGTAAGTTGGCGTTAGAGTCAAATGCATACTGTGAAGAATTGGAATTCAACAATGAAAGAGTATATACTTGTTTTACTTTGTTGTATATTCGTGGTTGCACCTTTCGCGTACCATACATTGTGGCGCTATTGCCATTTTGAACAAGCCTGCATCTGCCATGGGTCTTCAATTTATGAAGAATATTATTATGTTTTCGTCACTAAGGACGAGTTAGGTGATCCCCCGGACATCGACCCCAGAAGTGTACTGAAAATGACTTGAAACGTGCTTTAAATTACTGTATTTAAAAGGTGATATTTGATTATAGTTTGCGCACGCATCTTCCCACGCACGCATCTTCCCACGCTCGCATCTTCCCGTGCACGTCTTCCCGTGCGCATACGTGTGTCGCCTCTGTTGGTCTGTCCAATATATTATTTCTCAATAATTGAAGATGAAGAGGTCCAAAAATCATTCATTTTGACCATGATGACGTCATCAAAATGAAAATGAAGGACATGATTCCGAAAGAGAATTGTCTCAGCTACAGCTTACTCAGAAGATGAGAAACAATTGACTAACAATAAGAAAGATACGCTTAAATAAATATGTTAATAAATGAGGAAATTAAAGGAAAAAGTTTTTTTTAATTCAGATGGCAAAATGATGACGTCACAATTTCCGATCAGCCATTATGATCTATAAAATCATATCTACAACTCATGCGCTTTCAGAATATGTAATAAAAAATGGGTGTTACCGATCATTCTAAGGAGCTATAACTGATTGAAAAAAAATTTTCGACGCACGCGTACACGCATGTTATGATGCGCGCACGGAAAATTTGCGCGCATTACATTCATACTTGACTTGGAGTTTTATGCCAATTGAATATGATTTAGAAATGTCAATTATTTATGATGATATAGGCGCTTTCAATGATTTGAGGAAAGAAAGATAAATGGTCAGATAAAAAAATTATGTAAAAAATGATGACGTCATCAAAATGTAAAAAGTCGTGACATTTATTAAAGAGAATTGTCTCAGTTATAATCTTCCTCGAAGTTTGGAGAAAATCAATAAAGGATAAGGAAGATACGCTCAAATGCGCATTTTTTTTAAATGACGTCATTGATAATATTCAGTTTGTTGAATTCAGATGGCAATATGATGACGTCATAATGTCCGATCAGCCATTATGACCTATAAAATCATATCTACAACTTATGTGCTTTCAGAATATATAGTAAAAATTGGGGGTCACCAATCATCCTAAGGAGCTATAACCGATTGAAAATAGGCATGATTTTGGCCTATTTCCACCTTAAGTCGACAAAAACGTGCACATGGATTCGTATCTTTTATGCATGCGTACAGCATTGCTATTGACCCTAAATGACTGAAAAAGATTGGAAATTTGCGAATACAGTGTCAGGAACCTAAACATGTAAAAAAAAAACAATAATTCCAGCTTCTGTACGTGCGCGCGCATAAAAATGCGCACGCTGGACGAAAAATTCTGAAATGCTCAAAATGACCTAAAACATGCTCTAATTTAGTCAAAAAGTGATTTTGAGCATTTTTAAATTTTGACGCACGCGTACGCACATACTTTCCTGTGGATGTGCGGACGGTAATGGTGCAGGAAGTTGACACTTGATGTGAAGTATACTTGTGTCAAGTTTCATTGAAAAATACCTGTTAGTAAAGAAGTTATGGTCAATAATAGAATTTCACAAAATGGCATGTAGATGACGTCACTTAACTGTGACGTCATCCACAAAGTCAGGTGCACAACTTCAGATGTAGATCTATATGCTACGCAAGTAGCAAAGATCAAGCATGTGCCATTTTTGAGAAAATCGACCAACTTTTTTGTTGGTGGGAAAGAATAAAAAAAGAAATAAAGAAGAAAAATTTGAATGAAAACAAAGCGTATCACGGAAGCGTATCACCAATAAACTCTTCAAAAAACATAAATAAAATTTTTTATTGAATAAATTAATCACATTTTAGTGTCAGATGAATTATACTGAATAATATACATTTTATAGATATATCATTTATATAAAAATATTCAGCAATTATTCAGCACCCAGTACAAACCTTTGTCTAACTTTGGTTTTTTTGATGTTGATGCTTCTCCATTATCTACAGAAAAAATTGATTATTTGTTTATTATTTAGCAACATACCTACATAAGACCACAGCAAAAATCTAAGCTAATATAGTACATTTAAAATATTAATAATGGTTTTTAACAAATGCTCACTTGAGTATAAAATCAAGTGTCTTGGTAACAAGTATGTTAGAAAAAGTTAAAATTAAGAACGGGAAATTGCAAAACAAATTTAGAAAAAATCGCAGGCTTGAATAAAAGATGGATTCTAATTGACAGGTTTAAAAGCGCGTCAGGCTCACAAGGCATTCTAGTATGGACATGAATTACAAACCAGACATTGCTATATTGAAGTACTGTACTTGCAATCTACAGGTACATCATAAGTGGCTGAAACTAAATTTTAAAATTGGTCTTGTATTGCAAATATAAAATTTACTTTAAAATGACTAAACAGTTCACATTTGATAATAATTCAGTCACATAAGCCACACCATAATTTAATTAGTGATTGACACATCTTGGTAAAGACAGTAAAAAGTAAAAAATTTCAGATCTTCATTCTTTGAAAAAGAATTTATTGTCAGAATTTGTATAGAAATGCAAAAAAAGTGTTGGCTCTAATTTCTTGGTTAAACAATGCAGGACTAGCACAGCCAATTTAGGTAAATAAATATTAATTAATGTCATACTCTAGCAAACATATCATTTCTAGAGCAATAAAGGTATATTATACCTCCATGCTAGAGCCAATGACACCCAGTACATACCTTCATTTAGCATTGAACGTTTTGATGTCGATGGTTCTTCATTACCTGTAGAGAAACAGAAATTGGAAATGTGAACAATAACACCATAGCTACACTAGAACACAGCAAATACAGCACAATCGACTGAATATAAAAGCCTAGCTAATAAATTTGAGGTTATGGCAGTAGGTCCTACAGGAATCGCTGTTGTTTGCGTCTAAAGATCGCGTATCGGATTCGTTTGTCGTACAGCAAGTCATATAGATCTGTTTTTTATGGCCTCAAAGATCCGGTAGTGGATTTCAACTAATCATAAAGCAAGGCACATATATATGTGAGTTGCATTGCATGATGTGCTTGTGTACATTTGTCGCATTGATGCGGCAATTTTTCATTATGATGCCACAAATTGAGCAATTTTGTTCAGCAGAAACTTTCACCATTCATTCCACTTTCGAGGAGACAGGTCGCAATCAATTATGAAACCTGCATAAATCTTTAGATTTTAATGTTTCTTACAATCATTCTGTTGTTCTGAAATGGGATATTATGTAACTGAGTATGCGCAGTTCTAAAATTATTTAAAATTGGTAGAATTCTCCTGAAACCATAGCAGTTTACCTTCCAGTATGGCTTTCACAGCCAAGTAACTTGGTAATCCTTCAATAAATTCATCAATTCTTTCTTCACAGAGCTTGTTCTTTTGCTCTAGATCCAGAATCAAAAGCCAGTTATCTTTATAATTCTCTAACAGCGGCATGTTATACCGTACATCAAGCGTTACTCTATCACTTTTAGTCAGTACCATTCCTAGCTTCAACAGGAATTGTCTGTATTTTGTGAATGAAGACACTTGACGTTCCCTGATTCTTTGTAAAGGTGGAAGTACAATTCTGGTGTTGAAGCCAAATTGTCGAGTAACTACTATTGTGTCATACAGGATAGTGAGATTCGTTGGACTCAAATTCCCAGAACCAATTAACAATCTTAGCAAGGACATCACCTCAGTAGCTTCACTTAACTCATAATAAATCGGCACATGATTTCTGTTGTTGTACAAAACTTTCAGCATATTGATGTATCCAAGTCCATCATACCATCTTGAAAAATCCAACAACAGCTGGCGAAAATTGCTTTCTGAAATTCCTATGATTAAAAGTGATAGCTAATAAATTGACTGTAAAATTTATTAAAAATAGAAATTACAGTTGACAGTGTTTCAAATCTACAATGAAAAATACATATTTGATCACCATTGATCATCAATTATAGTCATAATCAGAGGAGTGGCAAATAGATAAAATAAAATTGAAGATACAAACAATATAATTCATGAATACTTTTTAATATCCTGAACAAATTCTAATTTAATTCACCGGTTAATCACGCTAGTATGTATGTAACGGTAAATCGTATGTAACTGGGAAATTGCACAGATATTTTTTTGCTCAAACGGGCCCTCAGTAAACAAAAATTCTTGATACAGTGCAATTATCTTCTGAAATATTGATTAAATCAATTTTGTTCAATGCTGAGAGTATCTGAAACGGTTTGTGGATATTTTTGTTTTGCAAAAGAGGATGCACAAATGGTTACCTATGACCAATATGTGAAGTCCTTTGAAATGGTTAGACATGCCAATGGCAACAATTCCATTATAAATAGTATTTTACCTGCTTCCTCCATTCTTCCTTTGTGCCCTACTTCTTACAGCAGTTTATTAAATAATTCACTCAAACTGTTGAAACTTACAAGCATTCACACTAAAATGAATTAAATAGAAATTAAAATATCAGATATTTTTTTATATTACCTTTATTAACATTTACTTTAATTCAATGTAGGCCAATTCGGTTGCATGTATTTCAACAATTACAGTATGTTGGCGATTTTTTGCATCAGGAGAAATAATACACATCGATATTTGCCATTGAACCTAACGTGTTATAGTACTGAATGCTCAGTACATTTCAAGTGCACACAAAAAAATCTAGTAAGTGATTCGGGTGTGAACGAACCAACGACCTCCAGATAATTACTTGGTGTCTTAACTACTCGACCACCCATCTTGCGTTTGGTGGCTAGTGATGAATCCAATCCCCAAATAGGAGTAGGTGCCTTCACCACTCGAGTTACACTTCACAATCGGAGTGGCATTGCAATATCCGCTACTAATTAGTGATCAGATTTATCAGCAGCCAATGTACAGAATTATAAAAATTAGTAAAAATTACCATAAGAGCAATCAACTATGTCAAGTGTGAACAGTACCACTACAGTAATTAATAGCCAGAATACAACCACTGTAAATAAAACCATTTTTATTTACAAACCAACACATGCACATACGCATGAACCGACGCTTTAAATTCGCCTAGTGGAAAACCAGCTGTTTGAATGAAAATACGTTGCATGGTTTGTTTATTGTTATAGTTTATTGTTATAGTCTTTTTACTTATAGTTGCACTGAAAAGGGCAGTTTGTTTTGAATATTTTCGGGGTTTTTGATGACGTCATCGTCGATACGAGGCGTACGTAAAACTGAGGGTTTGTATAACTTGGGTACATAAAAACGAGGTTCTACCGTATTACAAAACAGCTACTCAGTGAAGTTTTGCAAAAGCATTACATTCTGCAAAATTCTACTTACCCAGTATTTTTTTCAGTATCAGCAATGTTTCCCCCCCCCCCCCAAACAACTCTGCTTCAGTCCCCTGTCTCCTCAGCTCTTGGATGGACTGTATCAACACATCTTGGCTCACCTTATGATATGTGACTGGTAATATTTATTCCTGTAAAAGTCATAAATATTTGATTTATATTTTGTTGGATTCTTTAAAACTTTCTTAGGGTAAAAAATATAAACAAGCAATTTAAATGAATCGTAAATTAGTGTTAAATTTATGATTTTATATTTTTTTAATCAGCTTTCTTTAGAGCTTATTTTAATTGCTTGCTTGAATTTTACTGAACCAGCAACTCTTACCTGTGGCGAAGTTGACAAGTACGGTATATACAGTAAAACAATATAGCCTTCGATGGGTGTACATTGCGGAGACGTTAATGCATCAATGCATCTCATTTTATATATATTTAGGTGTTTATAAATGTTGTCTAAACGAATGATGTACAATATTATTAATTAATTTAATGGTTATGCTCTATTCTCAACACATCATTATACTATACTGTATTATTTATTATTATAGGCGAACAACTTCATTCACTGAACTGCACAAGTTTGTCTTAACCAGCCAGTCGGCCATTTTCAGCAATGACATTCTTTCTGTCTTGATAACATTCCTGAATTGGCGGCGTACAAAGACTTTACCTGATTCTCTCAAGAGTACTGTGGGAACCTGTTTGTGTTTCCTTTAGTGTTTAATTGTTATTAGTTACTGAACCGTATCAATTGTAATAATCTATTATTGGCATTTGGAATTTCCATAGAAAATTATGCAAAATGCCAATGCCCACAAACTTTGTAAGTACAGCCAGTAGATATTTTTACAGTCAGAAAATTACCCATAAAGCCCCATACAAAGTGAAAATGAGGTTCTTACTTATGTTTATGATGGTATAATGTTATTTTTTTCATGACGATGTCTGTTATTTAACAATATGTATTTCCTTAGTTAAGATACAATATGTTTTCCATTGTTAAGATATTTGCCACTAACGTATAATGGTGTATGTCAATTAATAATAATAATTATTTATTATTATTATTATTATTACTAAATTATTATTATTATTATTATTATTACTAAATTATTATTATTATTATTAAAAATAAAGGTGATTGTCATTAATGGAGTTTATTAATGTTACATCTTCAGAAGCAAATGGCTTTACATTACTGCATTTCCTACGAACATCATCACCACCAACTCTTGACTAGGTAGTAGTCTAGCTTAACTCTTTTTACTTTTTAAAAGCTTTTACTTTTTAATCTACTATGGATACGTTTAGAAAACGACTTACGCTAGCATAACATTAATTGAGTGGTGTGAACTTGGGCGCGGAGTAGCGATGCCAGTAATATCGCGCAATCACTGGCGTACGGTAATCCAGCAACAGACCCCAGATTAGCGTACACCACTGATTTACGACAGTCACACAACTAAGCCAGGATTTGACCAATCAAAATAAGCCTAGATGTAAACAGAAAAAAAAAATACACGAATTACAAATACGAATATTTCACGCGAAAATACTTACGCTAGCATTCCTTAATCACCCCAGTCTGGACATCTCGCTAGTTACGCCATGGATTAACGTACGCCCAGCGTTAGATACGCCTGGCGTATCTCTTAGGTCTGAACGTAGCCTATGTCACAGCTGAACTATAAGACTACCAATCTTGGGCGTTTGTCGATTGTTGGTAACAGATTAGATTCTAGATCTTAGTGGGGTCACCCCTACTTAAAAATGGCCCTCATTATTACTTTTAGTTTTATTTAGATTCCAGACGTGCATCAGCCAACAACGAGGGAAGTAGAATTTTATTTTATTTATTTAGGCACACAAAACATGCACCAAGGATTGGCAACAGAGAAGATATCACTGTCTTACTTGTAGGTGACAATCGGTTACACAAACTAAATCTCAATATGTATGAGGTTTAGGGAGTGGAGTTGTTTTGGTTACGAGAAAAAATCCTGCAACACAGTTATTACTGTACTGCTATTACTGTACTACTACTACTAGTAGGCTAGGCCTACTACTACTGTCTAGCAGCCTAGGCTAGGCTAGGACTAGCCTATAATAATACTAACTACTACTACTGCTACTACTACTACTACAACTAGGGCCTAGGCCTAGTAGTAGTAGGCCTAGGCTAGTACTACTCTGGCCTAGGCCTAGCCTATTGTAAGTGTAACACAAGAGATGTTTTCTAGCCTGCAGATTCTATGTATCACGGTATTATTCACTTAACAAATACATACTTACTAGAAGAAGGACTTAATGTTCTTTTTTTAGCCTTTAAGCTACAGTCTAAGCGAGCCTGGGTTAGGGTCCGGTTACGCCCTGCCATAACACTAACAACCCCTGTAAACGTCGGTAGTGGCTATCGACACTGCCGCAGTGCCAAAAAAAAGCTGCTGTTTTCTATCGGCACTGCCGCAGTGCCAAAAAGCTGCCGTTTTCTATCGGCACTGCCGCAGTGCCAAAAAGTTGCTGTTTTCTATCGGCACTGCCACAGTACCTGCTGTTAATTAATCGAATCGATGTTTTTATCGATAGATGACATTGGTATAATTCATAATTCATAATTTTATTTCACTCAAAACGTAATGAGACTGGTTAGGCAAAAACATGTCCCTGTACAAGGTGCCTTCCAGAGAAACAATGATAATGTTAATGGCAAAGACTTTGGAGGGCTGGACTGTCATGAAGGTGTTGTATTAATGATGTTCTAAATATTTGCCTTTATTATATCAATAATTGATTAGGTCTAGCTTAGCCTATATTATTATTATTAACATTATATTATATTTGTTTAACAATTAGTTTAAATAATTATTTCTAATTAAATTATTAAATGTATACAATGCCTAGGCATATACATAAAACAAAAAATAAACAAATAACAACAACAACAATAATAATAATAATAATAATAATAATAATAATAATAATAATTTTACGATAGTTTGATTAATGAAATAGTAATAATCAGCATATTAAATAAAATTCCGTCCATGCAAAACCTGCTTTTAAATAAAAACGTTATCTATTTGATTCTGTTTTAAAAAATGATCTTATAATTTTAATAAAGTTTATTTTCTGCGATAATTTTATGCACATATGAATATTCATGTTTTCAATGTTAATCTGGTTGATAAATAATATATAAAAAAATAAATAATAATAATAATAATAATAATAATAAAGGTGCTCGAATAATGCTTTAGTGAATAATTAATAATACTTCAATAATGCTTCAACAGGCCAATTTATGATAGTGTGATTAATGAGATAATTGTTGATTAATTTATAGAAATATAATACGTAGGCCAATATTCCATTAACAATGATTCAGCATATTAAATCAACAATACGTCGTAAATGTAAAATTTGTTTGGTTTTTTTTTCAATAAAATTTTACCTATTTTAATCTGTTTAAAAAAAATATTAAATTATAATATATACATATATATATATGTGTGTGTGT